ATTTTTTCCTCTGGGGATTTCATGGAAATTGCCCAATTTCATGATTTCTGTGAAATCTGCAAAATCACAATTTGAGTAGGTCCCTTAGAATATGGCTCATATGATCCAAAATTCTCTCTATTTGAATACTGGCTCTTCAACATGGGGCTCTGACTTCATTTATTTATTTAGCATTCAAATTTTCCCAGTCTGCTAGAGAGCTCAAAGAGAGCTGCACCCCTTGCTCCAGAGAAAAAGGAAAAAATCCGTCTGTACCTATCTGACTATGGGGTAAAATTCCTTCCTAATCCCAAATGTGGTGATCAAAAATAATGATCAGAGATCATAAAAGTTAAAGCTGCTAGAGTCCTATTTAGGCCACCTGAGCTAGAGTTGTATTTCCTTCTGGTCATCTAAGGGACAGTTTTTAGTCACATAAATGGTGGTTTTGGTGTTTACATGCAGGTAGGAATTCATTTTCCACAAATGTGTAGCCCTAAATGCAGAGGCAACTGTACACATGCGTACCTGAGCATAAGCCCTGAAAGAGAAGTAGAGGACGACTCCCCCTCACATTTTAGCCCTAGTAAATGAATGATAAGTGCACATGCCTAGGAAGATGAAGACTCTAGGTACACCATTGCCTAGACTGGGTTTGAACATGCTGATTTCCTAGCACAATGCTTAAACCACCATGCCACAGGTCAGGTATTACACTGTCCTATCTCCAGCATTTCTTTTCAAAATGAATCATTGTACCTTGCTTTTAATAGTCTTTTCATAAAATTGAAGGTACCATAGTGGAGAAATATCTGCTGAACTAGGAGCAAGGCTCCAAGGTAGAACCGCAGTCTTATTCTCTTTCATAGCAGTAGCCAGCTCACTGAGCCAGAAACTCTCTGGTTTGCTTGTGTCCTTCTCTTACATATTTCTCACAAACCTCCCTACCTTTGCTACTCAAGGAGGCAGCTTCATAAGGAAAACTGGAGAAAGGCCTGGATAATGCCAGACCTGAGGTATGGTTGTTAGGCTACAGAGCTAGGAAGTCGAAGAGCTGCAGCTTCAACACCCCCTCTAAGTGGGGCTTAGAACCTGAGTTTCCCACTTCTCAGAGAAGTCCCCTGAGCACTTAGACAAAACGGGGGCTAAAAATTGGGAAGTTCACTTTTTTCCTCCATTTAACACCTGCTAATCCTGGATTTGGGGCCACCTGCATTTTCAGGACATGGATGCAAGTATGCATCCAAAAAGGTGTGCTATTTGTATGTTAGTACCAAAACTGGCACTTGGGGTGTGTGTAGATGAAATGGAGGCCCTAAATTGAAGCTGTGGGTTTTTAAAAACACCGCTTCAATTTAAGGCCAAGTAAACCCTGTGTCGTGCGCACACCCATGCACTTACCTGCTTCTCTGGTGGCGGAGAGGGGAGGGCAAGCTGCTGGCGGGTGGAGCAGTCCCTGGGCTGCGGGGGAGAGGCTGGTGCTTCCACCCATGGCAGTGGCAGTTCCCCCCAGATGGCACACACGCACCTGACTTGTGTGGTCTCAGGGGGCACCACAGCCACAGAGGGAAGCACCGGGGCCTCAGGCAGGCAGGCAGGATCCAGGAAAGAAAAAGATTGCTGTTTTTTCATTCCTTGGGTGGAGCCTGCCTTCCCGGGCTGCTGCCAGGCTTCCTGCACAGGCTTCCTGCAGAGCCCCTGAGCTGTACAGAGCCCTGTGCTTTGCTCCATGGCCGGAAGGCAGCAAACTAAAACTTCTCAGAGGAGTTTTAGTTTGCTGTGCCCCAAGTCATTCAAGGTGCGTTACTCTGCTGAATTTGCTACAGCAACTGGAATCACTGTGCAATACACTGCTGACACATGCGAACACCAAACACCAACACCATTAAAGTGGTGCAAAAGTATTTAACCCACTTTAAAGTGTCATGCACACATGCCCCTTGTTTCATCTATACACGGCCATAAATGCTGAAAAAACTGCCACTTAAATGACCACAGAGAAACAGGATTCCACCACCGGGTCCATTTGGCTACAAGTTCAGGTCTTTTTACATTATATTCATCAGATTTTTGTCCAATTCAGTGTTAAGATCACTAGCAATGCATTTCCACCATGTTCCTTTTTCAAGCATACTAAACTTTAAAAAAATAGAAAGTAGGCTTAGATGGACAGGGCTTTTCCCACACTTAATCAAGTGTATGCTACTGTAAAAAAGTCTGGGACATTATCTGCAATAAATATTGTTGCTATAATAGCTGACAGTAAACCCACCATTTTAACAGTACCTACTCATAGCTAGATTGAATATGATCAAGCTGTACAAATAGATGGGCACTGGTAACAACCCTGGAAGTTATCTAAAGGAAACTTAACTCTTCAGAACTGGAATTTTCAAATATGTATCACGGAGCATTAGTATTTATGAAAATAAGATCTGTTGCCTTTAAGTATCATAATTAAATTTGATATTTAACAGCATCAAGACTCTTTACACGAGGGAGATGAGAGCAGAGGTAGAAGAGTCCTCTAAGGGTGCATACCCATGAGCACACACTCTGGCTACCGGCCAGGCTCCAAGTGGCTGGCTTGGTGCTGCTGCTGCCCTGGGGAGATTCCAAAGGACCCAGGTAAGTCTGCTGAGGCCAGCCCAGGTGCTGGCCCCAGCCTCCCTTACTCCACCCAGGACAATTTCCTGTGCACCACAGTGCATGTGCAGGGGTGTCCTGGCGGACAAATAGCAGTGGCACAAATATGTGCTGCTGCTATTTGTCTTGCAGGGAACATGCCCCCCTGTATGTATGTGCTTGTGGGGACATGCTCTAAATTTTCACATTTAAGTTGCTTTCATTTGTGGGCTATGTAGAATGAGCTTATAGAATGGGGGCAAAGTAGTGTTGTGACAACATGTCTCTCTCATTCTTCCTTTTTCCCAGGGATCCTCTACCTGCATGAGAAATGGAAACCCAACCTCATGGCTGTTCTAGTCTATTACTCCTCCTACCTTAGAGAGAAAGATGGCTGAGGCTTGGAAAAGGCTATGCCATTATGACATTTAGTACATTTGTGACAGTATTAAGATGTGGGAAAGGGATCAAAAGAAGCAAATGCATACAGAACAGGGAAGGTTCTTTGAATAAATGTGATATCTTTTATTAGATCAACTAAATAGTTGGAAAAATTGTTCTTTACAAATTTTCGGGCACAAACATCCTTCTTCAGGCATGGGGAGAATCGGCGGTTGTTTTGTGTTCTCTTGGATGAAATAGAAGCCTAAATACAAAATGCAGATCTGTGAAAATGCAAATGCATGATAGGGAGGATCAGGGAGACAATAGGTGTGAGATACGTAGGTGGGGGTGGGTGAAGGGGGAATGCTGACCTGGTGACAGAATGTAGTTGGTAAAATGTAGAGAGGTTACCTGGGGTGTCATCAGGGGGCAGGTAAGTTATAATGTGCCATAAATCCAATGTCAGTGTTTAGTCTATGATTTTGTGTATCCCATAGATTTATAAAGTGAAGTTTGTAGGCTCATCTACAAAAGGTGTTTTGTAAATTCCCTTTGAGGATTAGAATTAATGGTGTGTGATTTATGGGGATTTTCTTTTTGTACTACAGCAATTCTTCACGCGGTATCCAGGTAGCTCGTTCAAAAGTGTGATCTCTCTCTCTGGAGGAGTGTCCTTGTTGAGTGAAAGCCCTTTTGAGATTTGTGAGGTGACTATTATGGGTGGTCTCTTCAGTGCAAATTCGGTGGTATCGGAGGGGTTGGCTCTATATTATAGTTTTCTTGGTGTGTTTAGGGTGATTGCTGATTCTGTGCAGATATGTATATTAGTAGGCTTCTTGTATATGGTGGCCTGTATTTTGCCATTCTGGATAGTGATCAAAGTGTCTAAAAAGGAAGTATTGGTGCTGGAGTATTCAAGAGATAGTCTGATGGAGGGGTGATGATTATTGAATTTGTGATGGAAATCAATCAGATCTGATCTTGATCTCTGATCCTTACTGCCATGATTTGCATATTGTCTTCTATTCCATCCAGGAGAGCACAAAACAGCAGCAGAATCTCCTTATGCCTGAAGAAGTGTTTCTGTGCCCAAAAGCTTGGAAAGAACACTTTTTCCAACTATTTAGTTGGTCTAATAAAAGATATCACGTTCACCCAAAGAACCTTGTCTGCCTGTGTCCTTAGATCAATATGGCTACAACCAACACCCCTGTATACAGAACAGAGAGATTCCAGAGAGATTCCATCAATTATACCTTTACCATTTAATAAACATGCATGAACCTTGAGCAGTTCTGCAAAATGAGTAATTCATGTTTCAATAGCAATATTTTATGCCTAAAGTGAAGTATGTGGGCCTGCATAATATGGCAATGGGGACTCCGACATACAGTTTAGTGAAATGAAGAAGATTCTTTTGAAAAATAATCTTATAGATTTAAGACTCAATCTCCCTTGTCCAATTCTTTATTTAGAAAGAGAAAAATGGCAATATGTGCTGTTCTCCACTAAAGTGGTGCTTTGCCAATTGTAAAAGTCAAATTCCAATATCATCTTTTGATCTTAGACTACAGAATAGAGCAATGATACAACAACAAAATAGCAAAACTTAGTACTATAGAGTTCCCATTTCTGATTGGCCCTTTCCTCACTGAAGGTAGAGCTAATGAGTTTTGAAACATTTCTTGTGGATTAGAGAAAAATAAATGCTAAACAACATAAACAGAAAAAGTGTCTTGACTGTAAAATTTCAGTTTTTCAGTCTGAGGTTTCTTTACCTAGATATCTTCAGGTTTAGATCAGTTATTTCCATTGTTACAACTTTTTCCTTCTATAATATAAGTCCAGGTAAGGAAATAATAATTTAGTAAAATTCTTAGGTAGGAAAAAATAAGGTCTGATTTTTGGCAGCACGGTTTTGAGAGAAGTTCATTTGTTCTCAGCAGCTGGCAGTTTTTGCTCTCAATGTTTACCTGTGTTAGATGTGGAACCAAAAAGACTGCATGACATACCATGAGCAGCTGCAACAACAGCACCAACAAAAGCAACATGTGTTGTTGGGCCTTTGGTTTCCAGGTGCTTGAGACACAGCAGATGTTCCTTCATTTTGTGACTGCTGCCTTTTTCTCATTTCAGCTACTTCAGTACCCAAGTGGCTATAAGAACACAGACATAAGAGATTTATAGCATTACTACACTCAAACATGAAGTACAATCACATTTTCTACATTCTTTATGTTGAACCTCAAAAACATTTAGCCACAAAGACACATGATCATGATTCTGTTCTATAAGTCTACTGTGATATAAGCAGTTTGATAAAGTACTGCATATCAGTGACATTCTTATGCTCCCACTGCCTTAAAGTCACATCTTTTCTTATCACTTTGACTGGAATAAAAAATGCTTGCTAGCTTTGTGACACTGGGACATGCATCAGAGCTTGCATAGCACTTGGTAGAGCTTAAGATATCATTTACAACGAAACTATCACAATCTTTTCTTTTTCACTGAAAATCGTAAGACAGTAATGCATATAAAACATGAGCCTGAGTTTTACTTTTGTTACTCCAAATCAGTACTAACTTCACTAGTCAGAGATGGATGCTAAAATTGATGTAAGTAAAAATTCACTGTCAGAGAAAATAATTATTATCATTATCATAACTTAAGGTTCATCCCCCGGACAGCTATTTTTTGTGAATTCAAAGAGCCATAAATGCTTTTCCTCTCAAGTTTTGGAACTACTCTGGATTTAAAAAGTTTTTCCACCCCTCATCAAACATTATTTCTCAGATTTTGTTAGGCCAAGTTATTTTTCCTTCCAGTGATCTGTAATATCCAGCTGGAATGGAAATCCTGGGCATTAGCTGCAGAAGAGAATAACTCCAATGATAAGACACATTTATTTTAGAAGTGTTGAGATGGCATTTCTTTCATTTGCACACCAAATTATAGCATTCAGTTTGCATGCACCCAAGCAGAAACAGTCTGCATTTGGATTTAAATTGCTTCTTGCTAAAGTCCCTGAAGTATTTGCAGTGCTACATTCCATAACAGTAGCTACTGAAGTCCATGGATGCTCACATTCTCCATCATGGGCACTACTCTTTGGCACCATAAATCCCCACTAAACAACCTGGGGCTGGTGTTATTTCAGGTTTTCATCCTCCATTCCATGCATTAGACTCTTAGGACATGCTGATATTGCTTCCATGGTGGGCTCAGGAGCCCCACTGTGGATGAAACTCCCCCTTGATCTTACCCTGCTCATGCCAAACGCTGCAAAAAGGAAATCAATATAGTGCCTTTAAAGCAACTCTGGCTATACGGGAAAAACCACAATGGAGGCTGAGAGCCTGGCAGCAGAAGTGGGTTCCCACTAGGGCTGTGCAAAATTTCACTGGCCGTTTTGATTTGACACTGTTTTGACTCATTTTGAGCTCGAAACAGCGAAATTGAATTGAAATGAAGGGCTTCAAAACAGCCTTAAAATAAAATGAGGCTAGCTGAAACATTTAAAAAGTTTTGAAACGTTTCAAATTTCAAAGCAGCCAGAAGCTAGGTGGTGGGAGAAAGGGAAGAATCAGGGCTGCGCTCCCAATGGCTCCACAGCCCCATGTGGCTCAGCCAGGAGTGCAGGCCTGGTTCTCCCCACCTCCCGCAGCCAGGCTGCGGGAAGCTGATCTCAGCGCAGGGGAAGAGAACTGAGTTCCTTTCCCCAGCCTGATCGTAGGGCTGGGGAGGGGAACTGAGTGATTGGGGTCAGTTCCCTTCCCCAGCTCCCCAGTCCCAGGTAGCAGCACCCAGCTTCCTTCCCTCATCTGGTAGGCAGATGGGGGCCCACAGCCCCGGGAGGACCGGCACAGCCCCTGCAGCCCTCCTGGGGTTGTGGGCCCCCATCTGCCTGCTGGATGAGAGACGCCGTTTTGAGCTTCCCCATTTTAGTGAATAGGGAAACGTCGAAACAGCGTCACTGTTTCAATGAAACAAAATACAAATTGAAATTGAAAGGTGTTGTTTTGCCCAGCCCTAGTGCCCACCATGAACTAGGTACTTGACACTTTTTCAAGCAGTAGTTCACATGCACTGACTATGAATGATGTGCTTCACTGCAGTACTCCCTAGCATGGCTAGGAGCAGTGTGGGAATGCTTGTATACCTTCCAAGAAGGAGTTAATAAAGGAATAGTATTTACACTGTTATTATATACAAGTGGCCTAATCAAATAAAAAAAAAAAGTAGGATCATATTAAAAAATGACAGATTTAATCATAAGGCACTCTATACAAATCAGAACTATGGCTTCCACTGCTTGGGTATGAACTACAAGAGTTTTCTGCCCTTTGTAAAGACTCATACTAATGCTACTGATGCTATTTCTCATGTTTGTGTTTGTCATAGTTTATAGAAGGCCACAGATGTAAGCAAAGAGGATTGAAGATTTAAATGATGTGTTTTTTGTAAGACATTGACAGTTGCAGTAAAGATTTTCACCTTTTAGTCGACCCTAAACATAGGTAATTGACTGGATATTTTGACACAGCTGAGAGGAGTACCTTTATTTTTATGCTAGCATTGCATTTGGTTTATTATTCATGGAAGGTGAGGGGAAATGCCATCAGTCTGAACTATAAGGTCCCTTCCAGCACCCAACATCTATGAAACTATGAAACATGATGACATGCAGGTCAGACATCTGACAGTCACTTTTTCTGAATGGCATACAGGGATAACTCTCTTAATGTAAGTTGCAGTTAGGCTACTTCACAGTCAGGGCCAGCCTGTCCTATCCTGCAAAACCTGTGGCTACAAGAGACTCCCTGCATCCAGCCACTTGGCATCCCCCACCACTGCCAGCTTCACATCTGGCCACTCGCTACCTTCTTTGGCCACTTAGCCTCCTCCCCCCGCCTTCCTTCTTCGTGTCAGGGGGCCCCAAAACAATTTCTTTCAGGAGGCCCCAAAAAATTGTGGGCCGGCCCTGTTCACAGTTAAAAGCATTTGCTTTATTATACAAATACTTTATGCCAAGAAAGACATAATGGATTCCACCCTGAGGAATTTAAATTCCAAACGGTTTGAACTGGGAGAACGTCTATTCACCTGGGCACCCCAAGAGAAGACAAGGTCTAACCAGTCACAAGCTGCTGGGAGACTGTTTTAGATTGGACATAAGGAAAAACTTCTTTACCACCTGAGTCTCCAGAGTCTGGAACAGACTCCCCCCAGAAGTGGTGCAAGCACCTACTTTGGATAACTTCAAGAAATGCCTTGGATGCTTATCTTGCTGGGGTGATCTGATCTCAGCTGACTTCCTGCCCTTTGGGAAGGGGGCTGGACCCGATGATCTCACAAGGTCCCTTCCGGTCCTAATATTTATGAAATCCTATAAAATGAAGAGATGATATGTCCAAAACCTTGAGTTGTGCCTGTTGAAGCCTGCACAGTGGCTAAGATTTGAGCAGGGACATACAAAACAGATTTTTTTTCCACATAGAAAGTAAATACATTTCACCCAGACATAAATTCTATAAACATTTTGGATATCACTACACACGATTTATTAGTCCCTCAGAACAGCAAGAAAAGATTCAACAAGGACAAATGCCCTCCCCACCAAATGACAGAATCAACAAATGACAGATTCAACAAGACAAATCCTGTACTTGGGGTGGAATAACCTAATGAAAAAATACAGACTGGGGAATGACTGGCTAGGCTGCAGTACTGCAGAGAAGCACCGCGGGGTTACGATGGACCACAAGCTCAATATGAGCACAGGAATGTTGCTTGCAAAGTGACTACACTTTATTCAGCACTACTGGGGCTTCACCAGGACTACTCGTCACCTATACATGAGCATGGAGTCTGTTCCAATGTGCTGGAATTCCAGTGTGTCAGAGCAGACTCAATTAATAGAGTTTGCTGGAGCATGGTAATTACTTCCCATGCTTAAAAATGGTGGTAGAGACACTTTATCTAAAGCTTGAATGAGCTTTAGTTCAAGCGCCCCCATCACGGTTTAAAAGTGTGGTGACCCTAATACAAGAAACACGGCGGCACTTTAATTAGAGCAGCTCTTGGAGTCGCTCTAATTAAAGCACCACCTCCTGCACCCCTGGAGCACAGTGCCCACAGTGTCCAGTTTTGGGGCACTTCAAAAAGGACGTGGACTGTTTAGAAGGAGTCCAGTGCAGGGCAACAACAATGATAAGAGACCTTTGAGGCAAGATTTCTGAAGAAAGCTGAAAGAACTAGGGTTGTTTCTCCTCGAGAAGAGAAGACTGAGGGCGGGATTTGCTAACAATTTTCAAATACTCAAAGGGTGATTGTAGAGAGGGTGGAGATGGGTTTTTCTCTATGGCTGTAGGGAACAGGACTAGGACCAATGGCCTCAAGTTGCAGCAGAGGAAATTTAGGCTGGAGTGAGAGGATATTTCTGACTATGAGGGTGGTCAAGCTACTTAGAGAAGGTGTAGAACCTCCATGCTTGGAAACTTTCAAAAGCAAGTTAAACAGAAACTTAGCCACAATGGTTTAGTTGGGGATGATCCTGCCTTAAGCAGGAGGCTGGCCTAGATTACCTCGTGAAGCCCCTTCCTGGCCTTACTCTCCTATGATCCTGTGAACACATATCAAAGTGTTTTCAGGATCAGTCTTTGGCAATAAAGAAATACTGGATATTATCACACAGGGTTAAATTATAAAAATGAAAAGTATCTACATACCATATTTACTTGAATATAAGATATTTTCCTCTCCCAATTAGCTTAGGGAAAAAAAGCCCCTTACCTTATATTCACATACGGAAAAACCTCATTAAACACCTTGTCTATCATTAAATTGCTGCCAGAAACAGCATGTGCTCAGTTATGGAAACCAACTATGAAACTGGTTGAATGCAGCCCACACTGAGCATACCTGTAAACTGCATGGCCCACACTGGGCAAACATACTGATGGGAACCTTTCTCCTCATCTCCTTCTCCCTTGCAACAGACTCCTCCTCCTCTATGGGCCCCCATCTTTCCCTACCCATCTGGCCTAATATTTTTCCCCACCTCATCTGCTTCCTCTTCCCTCATCTCTGCCTCTTGCAGTCCTATCCCCCTCCTCCCTGTCTGCTTTCTCCTGCCATACTCTCTCCTTCCTGT